TGACGATACAAGACATTGATTACAAGCTGTCTTTATTACCTGACGTCTTTTCCACGGTAAAACGCAGATTGAGCGAATCAATGTGACATGATAGGGATTTCGATAAGTTGTACTCTATCTTTAACACACTTTCAGATGCTCATTCATGTTTATTTGGCGCTGTGACTGGTATTATTAACCCGGAAGAGAGATCAGCGCTGCTGCTTCTCTGAGCTGCGCCAGAGCGATCTCACGCCACAGCGCCAAAACGGCAAAACACTATTTATGTTTTTGAATTTCTAAAGAAAATGGACGTAATTTGAAAATTAAGACTTTGTTTCATATCAATAGTAACAAAGGACAAAGATTATTGCGATTTGTTGGATGCGCACAGCCACGATAAAATCTCTCATTCATTCAAATGAAACAGGATGACTAATCGATTCTTGAGATTTAAGAATCGATATCGGTTTGTAAAAATGAGAATCGATTAATATCGAGAAATCGATATTTATTACCCAGCCCTACTATATACTTACTGTACATCAACTACTGACCAGTCGAAACTATTTTTTTAAGAAACATCTCCCTGAGATATGATGAACATCCTCGATCAATAACCTTTTCCAGGTTGTCTGATCGTACCTGCTCTTCCACTTTCTTGCGCAGCTGCTGGACTCTGTAGGAAAGCTGAACGTTGATGACGAGACGTCGCATTGTTTGAAATCGCCGGCGCACCAGCCAAGCTCGAGCGTACTTCTGCAGAACCAGAGCCTTGTGCTCCGCCACCATCTATAATAAGGACACACAAGCGATTGAATTGACATGATCAAACTTGTGACCTGCATGATCAAAAATGCTTCAAACAAAAGGACAAACGATGAGACTGGTTGCTTTGCCTTTCTGTAGCGTTTGCGGGCCATCCATCCTCTGGTGTAGGCCTGTATGATGACTGCAGCCCTCAGGACGAGCTGGTAAATCTTCCGCACCAGATACCCACGGCAGTGTCTCTGAATCACCACAGCGGCCCAGCCCTGCTTCAGCGCCAGAGCCGTCACCGTGCGTCTGAGACAGGAAAGCAAGGGTTTTCAGGATAAATTCATTTCTGTGATCATCCTAACTGTAATGTCCTAACTGTAAAAGTAGCATATAATGGAAACGTCTGTGCTATTTTTTAGTTGTCTATGTATAGACAATTAAACAATACAACAGCTCAATGTCAGTATCACATCAGCTACGTATAAATCACATCAGCTTGACAAGTCTTGACAAGCACCTTTTGAACTGAAAATAAGTGTGAACAAGTGAATAACGGTTTAAAGGAGTAAGCGATTTCTGAGAAACGCTGTTGAAAGTGATTTGGTCTGCACAACGCACTTGTGACCAATCAGCAGTAAGGGCCATGTCCACTCATTTTGGGAGAGGAGAGTGAGTTAGCCAATCTGCAATAGGGGGCGTGTCTACTCATGATAGGGGAGGAGAGCGAGTGAGTCAATCAGCAGTAGGGGGCGTGTCCACTAATTTTGGGAGAAGAGAGTGAGTGAACCAATCTGCAATAGGGGGTGTGTCCACTCATGATGGGGGAGGGGAGTGAGCCAATCAGCAGAATGGGGCGTGTCCACTCATATTGGGGGAGGAGAGTGAGCCAATCAGCAGTAGGGGGTGTGTCCACTCATGATAGGGGAGAAGAGCGAGTGAGCCAATTAACAGTAGGGGGTGTGTCCACTCATGATAAGGGAGGAGAGTGAGTGAGCCAATCAGCAGTAGGGTGTGTGTTCACTAATGATAGGGGAGAAGAGCGAGTGAGCCAATCAGCAGTAGGGGGCGTGTCCACTCATGACAGGGGCGGAGAGCGAGTGAGCCAAGCAGCAGTAGGGGTGTGTCCACTCATGATGGGGGAGGAGGGTGAGTGAGCCAATCAGCATTAGGGGGCGTGTCCACTCATGAAAGGAGAGGAGAGCGAGTGAGCCAATCAGCAGTAAGGGCGTGTCCACTCATGAAAGGGGAGGAGAGCGAGTGAGCCAATCAGCAGTAAGGGCGTGTCCACTCATGAAAGGGGAGGAGAGAGAGTGAGCCAATCAGCAGTAAGGGGCGTGTCCACTCATGAAAGGGGAGGAGAGAGAGTGAGCCAATCAGCAGTAAGGGTGTGTCCACTCATGAAAGGGGAGGAGAGAGAGTGAGCCAATCAGCAGTAAGGGTGTGTCCACTCATGAAAGGGGAGGAGAGAGAGTGAGCCAATCAGCAGTAAGGGGCGTGTCCACTCATGATAAGGGATGAGAGAGTGAGAAATAGGGAGATTTTAAGACAAATGAGTGAGAGACTTTACAAAAGAGAAATGGTCTTAGGAATATCGCTGGAAAAAGAAGGGTTATGAACAGGCTAGAGCTTGAGGACCTGTGTTAATATTAGAAAAGCTTTCCAGCGCAGGGGACCGAAGCAGGAAGGCCTGAAAACAGACGCTATGGCTGTGTTGTTTCGGCTCCATTTGTGAGTAACATTGGTTTTGCTAAGTTTCACAGAAACAAGACATGCTGTTGTTGTAATGTTAGCTACACTAACAGGACAGATATGAGTGTCATTGTTTTTCTGGAGCTGGTGTGCTGCTGGAACTAACAAACTCTTGCTTACTCTTGTGTACTGTATATGTCATTTCGCTAGTGCTCTGGAAACACTCACCTGATCTTTTTCTTTCCACGCACGTACTGTTGTATAGTGATAGCCGCTTGTCTCATGTGCAGGAACCTGCGTCTCTGCCTCCAGCCCCTCACGTGCTTCTGAATGATCACACACGCCGCACGCAGATGATCCGAACGCAGCTTCTCCAGGTACGCCACCTGTCCCGCCCGGAAGAAGATCTTCGTCCGACCAAACTTGTACTGGTTGGAATCCTGCAATGCCCCAAAGATGACACTTTTCAGAACATGGTTGAAGATCACGAGCTCTCAGATGAACCACATGCAGTGAACTTCTTCTTCTTACAGGAATGAGTTTCTGCAGGACCGTCCTGCACGTCTGCTTCTTCTCTCCCAGCTTCAGCTCTGACTGGCTCATCAAGATACTGTAACGGCTGTAAAACTCGATATACGTCCACCTGGAAGGATGGACAAAGAGGATGAGACGTTACAGAAAAGAGAGAGACCAGTCAGACATTGCTAATCTTCTCTATGGCGTTTTAAGCTTGCTTGGTTGGATCTTCTGATGTGTCTTGAGATTTGCTTGGATTTTTGTTGTATTAAAATATGCATAACTCTCACAAAACATGTTCAGGTTACATTTTACACAAAGATAATAAAAAACAAACAAACAAAACAAACAATAAATATATATTTTTAAGGAAAATTATTCTAATGATGACACTGTGAATTCAGAATACTACCGGTACATGAATATTTCTTTCACCTTACAGTAATTGGTTTTCAAATTATATGGTTTAAAAAAATGTGTATAAACAAACCAATAAATATAGTATTTATTAATGTTTTGAACTAGTTTTCATTTTTATGTTTTCATTTTAATTTTAGTTCAAGTTTTAGTAAATTTGTTATGTGCTTTTGTATTTTAATTGGTAAAAACTACATTTTAAAATTTTATTTCAGTTTTAGTAAAGTTGTCATTTTTATATTTAGATTTAATTTAGTTTTAGTCATTTTGTTATGTGTTTTTAGTTATATTTATTTGTTTTTAATATTTACCAGTATATTCAGCATTCATTATAAATAATATATCTAATACTAGATAAAAATATTAAAAAAATAATACAAAATATTATATATATATATGTGTGTGTGTGTGTGTAATATTTAGTATTTTTTTAATATTTATATCTAGCATTAATAAATGAATGCTGAATATACTGTTAAATATTAAAAACGAATAAATATAACATATATATATATATAATATTTTGTTTAAGCTTTAAACTAAAACTACTTAATTTCAGTTAGCTGCCAAGAAAACATTTTATTTAATTTGAGCTTCATTTCAATTAAATTTTCATACTTTTATAGTTTTAATTATGAAAACACTGATATTCTGTCCTAAATATACATCACTATAGATACAGTGTGCCTTCCTAAATATTTCTGTTTTGTGTCATTCAGTCATGTGATAACATACACAATACACATACAGTTTGAAAATCACAAAGGTCTTCACAGAAGTGTTCAAAATAAAGTTAAAAAGGCCACATAGTGAGGTTTTGATGGTGCATTGAGAGTTAAAACTTGTGAGATGGGAGAAGATTACTGAGAACTTCACATATAAGTTCTGCCAATTAACACTGAACCGACAGACGCAGACCAACGCTGACAGTCACCAGATTACAGCACGTCACTTCTCAGAGGAGTGACACACCGATCCGACAAAACTCGACGAAGAGTCAGTTGCCGTCTGTCGGCGCGCTGTGGCCTGAACTTGAGTTAATGCCGCTCACCTGGATGGGTAACTCTGGGCACTGATGCGGATGGTCTCCAGCACACCACAGGCCCTCAGCTGCTGCACCACACGCTTTGGGTCGTACCTGAGCAAACACACACACACACACACACCGTTTCATTTACTCTATACAACCAACAGAAAGTCCTAAATAAAATAATTCAGGCTTATAACTTACTCAAATGGCATTTTCTCCTCATTGGGTTTAATACAGCGCACATAATGAGGTGTAGTAGCGTTCAGCGTCTCCATTAACAGGGACAATGAACTTCGAAACTGTGATCAGACAGAAGATAAAGATGTTAAAGATGATACACATCCTGTAGAGAACACCATTGTTTTTTTTGTCTCAATGAATTGAGCGAGTTTATGATCACACCGTGTTCGTGCTGACCCGGAATGAGCTGTCGTCAAAGACCTTCACAAAGTCTTTTTAAACCACTCAATATCATTATTTGTGTGTAGAACAGATTAAAATGTGTGATTTAATGATTCGTGAGTTAACTATGACATTAATGCGATTAATCACGATTAAATATTTTAATCGTTTGACAGCACTAATATATATATACTGTATATATATATAAACCTTTGAAAACCAGTTCATGGGTCAAACGGTCATTATTCTTACCACTAGTATAGTATTGTCTGTGATGTACCTTGTCTCCTACAGTGGTTCTCAGCTGCTTGTTTGAAGCTTTAACTCGGGGTTGTGCTGGTTTAACTTTGATCATTTTGTGGCCAGAATTTGGTTCATCCTCTTTAAAAAAATCTGCCAAGAGAGCAAACTAACAGCATAGAAAACAGATAAACAACATTATAATGACATTAAACTCACAGACACCGATTCAAAGACCATAAAGGAGAACATTAGGTCGATACCTGACTAGTGCGCAGGATGTCGACTAGCTCTTCATAAAGCGTGTCTCTGTTCTTCTCCAAAAAACCTTTACACTGGTATTCTACCTAAGGAAAACAGCTCCAGTTCAGTTTGTATCATTTCCACTGTACAATACAAAGAAGAAAAGGTCTCTCACCTTATCAGCAAAATGCTGGATCATAAACGAGTCATTAGACAAACGAGGTTTCTCAAACAGCGGCTTTGAACCTAGAAAATTGTACAGCTTTTGCAGCCAGTTTTTATCAGTGCCCTGTGGGAACTGTGGGAGATCATTCAGTTAGTGAATATATATATATATGAAGAGTTCAGATGCAAAAGCCTCTAAATGCCATTTGAAATTTTCTTCTTTAATGATGATTTTTATCAAACTTGTATATTTAAGTTCAGTAATATCACTTGAATAACAATTAATAGGTAATTATCATTGCCATTTAAGTGAAATTACTGAACTTAAATATACAAGTTTGATAAAAAAAATCATCATTAAAGAAGAAAATTTCAAATGGCACTTAGAGGCTTTTGCATCTGAACTCTTCATATATACTTCTCTGAAAAATCAATGACATAAAATAGAGAACAAGTGGAAACTTAGTTTGGATCAAATCGAGCTTGGAATTGGAATTTCATTTTAACAATTTTTGTCCTAACCAGGTTATTTTTCTGTTCTTGATACTATAAAAAATAACAGCCAATCAGAACACATCACATGCTAAATAAAAAATGGACACTTTCTTGTAGCATGCTGCTATTTACGCTGGTCAGGACAGAAAAACGTTCACGTCCGTGTTATTCTCACCAGACACTCCTCATCCAAAAGGTCCAGGATGCCCATCTTAGACTCGATGAGATCAATAACGGGCTGATTGTCGTAGAAATCGATCAGCGTCCACGGGATGTCCTCTTTCATGTACTCCTCCTGCTCCAGTTTAAACACGTGCTGATGGGATCATCAGAGATGTGTTTTATCAATAGTTCCACTTCAAATCAAACTGATTTCTTGCTAAATAAATAAAAAGGAACGCACCAGGTTGAACTGCTGTTGCAGCTTCTCGTTGGCGTAGTTGATGCAGAACTGCTCGAAACTGTTCACTTCAAAGGTCTCAAATCTACAGGCCGAAAGACAGAACAACATTAGAAAAAAGCTACACTAATGGACCCTTAGTTTTCAGACAGTGATGACACAGATTTCAAGTTATTAACGTTGTAATTTAGCAAAGTATTTTGTAATAAAAATTATTATAAAATTATCAATATTGCATAAATAATTGCAATAATTCATTATAAAAGATTTATCTGTGCATATCAGTATTTTTGAAAATCATGTGCCTCATAATCTTTAATCAAACTAACTTCCCCTCTCCTTTTTAGCGACACCTCTTCTATGATGATGCGTTTACTGTCATGAGGCCGGGGCAACGTGTCTCTCGTACCACAACCATTCGATCAATTCCCCGTGGATAAAATCAAGTCCCGCCCTACATACTGCATTTTCTTGTTCAAGAAACCGTTTTACACAGATATACGTCACACTGTTTCATGCCAAATTTAAATAACAGGACTACTGCTATGCGAGTGACATCATCTCATGAATTTAACACCTTTCACTTTTTCTGACCAACATCTGAAACTCTCCAAACTTCATTTCCTCTTTTGTAAAATCATAGAAATGCAATAGGACTTGACATTTTTTGCTCACCAGTCACTGTAGCCAGTAGTTTTCCAAAGTTTCTAGATTTCTAGTTTCTAGATTTTAATATTATCTCATAGATGCAGCAGGTATATTAGGCTGCTGTCACTTTAAAGGGTTAGTTCACCCAAAAATAAAAATTAAGTCATTAATTACTCACCCCCATGCTGTACCAACCCCGTAAGACCTTCGTTCATCTTCGGAACACAAATGAAGATATTTTTGATTAAATTTGAGAGCTGTCTCACTACCACATTGGCTGCCTAAGGGACTGGCTCTTGACGGCCCAGAAAGTCAATGAAGAAAATGTTTAAATATCCCAAGTGACTACCGTGGCTCAACTATAATTTTATCAAGCGACGAGAATACTTTTTGTACGAAAAAACAAACAAAAATAACGACTTTATTCGACTATTCCTTTTCTTCCTTGTTGGCCTGAAACGAGACTTCCATACGGTTTCCACGACGCATGCGCGAGAATTGAACTGAAGTAGTTGAAGAAGATCGCAATTCTCGCGCATGCGTCGTAAAAATCTATGGAAGTCTCGTTTCAGGCCAGCAAGGAAGAAAAGGAATAGTCGAATAAAGTCGTTATTTTTGTTTGTTTTTTCGTACAAAAAGTATTCTCGTCGCTTGATAAAATTATAGTTGAGCCACGGTAGTCACTTAAGATATTTAAACATTTTCTTCATTGACTTTCTGGGCCGTCAAGAGCCAGTCCCTTAGGCAGCCAATGTGGTAGTGAGACAGATTTAGATCTCAAATTTAATCAAAAATATCTTTATTTGTGTTCCGAAGATGAACGAAGGTCTTACGGGGTTGGTACAGCATGGGGGTGAGTAATTAATGACTGGGTGAACTAACCCTTTAACATCTGAGGCACAGGTCCATTATACAGTTACATGTGTAAAAGTTTTCTCTCAATTGTTTACGTTCACTTAAAAACACATTACAGTAATTGACTGTGTTTTGACATTATTTTGTGTGTATTTGACTGTTTAAGTGCAATAAGCAGCAAAAAAGAACTCAATTTAGTGCTGAGAGGCGGCTTTATGTGCCACACTTTGGGTGTGAACACAAAATGATGAGTAAGATCATGTGCAGTATGTGCAATGCAATCCCACGCTGAAATTCAACACCAACAATATTCATCCGGAGCAAATGAAACGAGTGAGTGAAAGGAGGCGGGTTTGTGTCACTCGCTGACGGAGAGATGAGAAAAAGAGCAGCTGGTATCGTGAATTCAACGTACCCATAAATATCCAACACCCCAATAAATGAATGTTGTTTCCCAGGGACCATTAGTGCCTGGTTGATCTTGTGGATGACAAAGTCGAAAAGATGGGCGTAGATGTGTTTGGCCAGGGCATCGCGGGCGTTGACGGCACGTTCCTTGGGCTGCGGTTTCACCACCGTCTCCGCTGACAAGACTATCCGTCTGTGACACAGCCAGCGGCTCATATTGTCCATGCTGACGCTCATCAGGTCACAGAATATGGCCAAGTGAGGGTCTCTGGACTGGAGAGAAAGCGGAAAGTATCACAAAATGGCAATTATCAATTAAGAAAAACATAAAGATTGTCTACAAAGAATCTTACACCGATGGATGATTTCTCAGGACTGTTCGCCTTGATGACTACGTTTCCTAAATGCAGAATTGCAGCGAGCACCTTAAACACATCCGCCTGAAAACTGTCCTTGAGCCCTGTAGAGAAACAAGGCAGGGAGAGGAAGACAAGATGGATTGACAGCCACGTTTTTGATAAATTGCTGAAATGAATCAGATGTTAGATGTTTTTGTAAATACCCAGTAGATTAAAGGTTCTGAGTGTTTCTGCCATTTCAGCCCGGTCGTCCACACCCTCGATCTCGGTCTCACCACCCAAACGAGTGTAATTAAACTTCTCTGCACCCACTAAATCAGCAGATGAAGAACATAAGCAAAATGAGATTAATAATGTACAGTGGAAATTCCTGGCATAAGAACTGAAAGCTGTCCTTTACATATATTTAAAGAGTAAAATATTAACTTAAAGGTATAGTTCACCCAAAAAATGAAAATTCTGCCATTCTCACCCTCAAGTTACAAATACAGGATACTTTCTATTACACAAAAGAAATACTTTGAGTAGGGCTATCAAACGATTAATCGCGATTAATCGCATTCAAAATAAAAGTGTGTGTTTACATAATATATGTGGGTTCAGTGTGTATAATTATTTTGTATATATAAATACACACACAAGCATGTATATTTAAGAAAAAAATATTATTTATAAATAAAACATTTATATTTATAAATAAAATTATATATAAATCTATATACAGTATATACATGAAAATATTTCTTAAATATATAAAAGCATGTGTGTGTATTTATATATATATAATAATTATACACAGTGCACCCACATTTATTATGCAAACACAAACTTTTATTTTGGATGCGATTAATCGCGATTAATCGTTTGACAGCCTTAATAAATATTAATATTTTATATATAAATAATATTTTTTCTTAAATATACATGCATGTGTGTGTATTTATATACTGTATATAATAATTATACACAGTGCACCCACATATATTATGTAAACACAAACTTTTATTTTAGATGCGATTAATCGTGATCATTTGACAGCCCTAATTATGAGGAATGTCGGTAACCAAACAGTTGAAGGACCCCACTGACTTTTTTTTGGGACTTTAATGGATTATACATTCTAGACATATGATACATTATTAACAGATTCTTCAAAATACCTTCTTTTGTGTTCAACACAAGAAAAAAAAACATCTTACTTTTTGGCAGTAAAATCAGACATTGAAGTCAAGAGTATATAAGATGCTATTTGCGTAAACCGCAAAAAATAGTACAATCATGATTATAGTCTTTGTCACAATCATATGACAAGTACAGAAACACTCACAGAGTTTCAAGCCTTTGAACTCCGGTTGATTTGCACAAGCACACATTTGGTAGAAGATGTGATAATTTCTCTCATTCTCTGACTGAAGGGGGACAAATGACACATTGTGAGTTTTGCGCCTTTATCATTTAGTTAATCTGTTGCTAAAAAGTCCACAGAAGTGAAAAGCTCCTCTCACCTGAAACACAACCCTTGACTTTTCCAGAAGGTACGTCCTCATGTTGGCACCAATGATCTGGTATCTTTTGTCGAAGCTGATCTCAGTGTACTTCCCGAATCGACTGCTGTTGTCATTTCTGGTTGTTTTTGCATTTCCAATGGCCTGCAGACACATTAGATTATTTTGTGATCGGATCCTGCTCGTAGAAAAGTGTTGGTTTAGTTAAAAAACACAGTTTTACCTCAGTGATCGGGTTGGATGCCAAAACTTTGTCCTCCACCCGAGTTTTACTACCAGATTTGCTAACCATAGCAAAGTATCTCATAGCATACCGAGCTGACACGGTCTTTCCGGCCCCGGACTCACCGCTCACAATGATGGACTGATTCTTGTTATTCCTGCAGTTTGAAGAAAAAAATATCTCATTTCGAGTTCAACCTGTAAAACCTGCACAATCCAAAACACAAAGTCTTCCTAAATCAACCACGGATTAAAGGGATAGTTTAAGACATGGCGCTTCACCTGGCCATTTGTTTGTAGGCCTCTTCAGCCACAGCAAATATATGAGGGTCCAGGTCACCCATGTTTTGGCCAGAGTACGCATGGATGACTGCATCTCCATAGATGGGAAGCTGTTTATATGGATTGACTGCCACCAGGATAATTCCTGAGATGGTAAAAATCATGGTGATGTTCTCACATTAAAGCAAAGGGTTTACATCAAGAAAGCCATTCTACAGCCAACCTACCACAGTACGTATAGATGATTTTGGACTCGACGAATCGGACTTTGAGGTTGTGTAGCACGGCCGGCTCGTGAAGGTAGCTGAGGGCTGTGAGGTCATTCTCTCCCACCAGGATATCTGGGTTACGTAGGGGTGGCAACTTCTCACCGCCTTCCAGAGGATACTGCAACTCCTGCAAGAGAGATTCACAACTCACAAGTCAAAGTTTCTAATAGGGTGATTAAACTAAAAATTTATAAAGACTTTCTTTATGAACATCAAGGAGAATTTTTACCCTTAGGTACCATTTGCTCCCATTATAAAAGCTTGAAAGAACCAGGATATGATTTATGGCCTGTTTACATGAAGCGTGTAAAAACCTGCGGTTTGGCCTCTCATTTACACGAAAACCCCGTTTTTATCACAGAAAACGATTATTTCTAAAGACTGCATTCAAAGTGGAGATTTCTGAAAACGCTGGTTATGTGTTGCCGTGTCAACTGGTAGAAACAGGGTTTTAGGATCTCAAACGTCACATTATGCGCCAGAAAAGGCTTAACGCCATGCCAGCGCCCAATTTTTACAGTTTGTTTGGCTGCTGATCATGGATGCTGTTAAAGGGATAGTTCACCCAAAAATGAAAATTCTGTCAGTATTTACTCACCCTCATTTTGTTCCAACCCTGTAAGACCTTCGTTCATCTTCGTAACACAAATTAAGATATTTTTGATTAAATCTGAGAACTGGATCACTCCTCCATACTAGTCCATAGGCTTCTTGAGGGATTGAAACTTGGCGGCCTCGAAAAGTTATTAAAGACATCGTTAAAATAGTCCAATTGATAGTCAATCTTAAGTTTATGAAACGACGAGAACACTTTTTGTGCCCAAAAACAAACATAAATAACGACTTTATTTCAACTATTCATTTACTTCTCTCTCTGCCTCGAGTCTGGTTACTAGTTTAACAGCGTATGATCTGTTGTTGTACGTCACACGCATCACACACATGACCAGCGTCGACCAATAGTGAGCCTACGTGTGACGTAGCTCTACACAATTACACTAGTTTAACTGACTAGAGGCCCATAGAGAAGGAAGTGAATAGTTGAAATAAAGTCGTTATTTTTGTTGTTTTTTGCGCACAAAAAGTGTTCTCGTCGCTTGATAAAGTTAAGATTGAGCCACTGTCGTCACTTGGACTATTTTTACGATGTCTTTAATAACTTTTCGAGGCCGGCAAGTTTCAATCCCTCAAGAAGCCTATGGACTAGTATGGAGGAGTGATCCAGTTCTCAGATTTCATCAAAAATATCTTAATTTGTGTTTTGAAGATGAACGAAGGTCTTATGGGGTTGGAACAACATGAGGGTGAGTAACTAACAGAATTTTCATTTTTGGGTGAACTAACCCTTTTAAGCTGTTAACACTTTTGGCCTGTTTGCATTTACAAATACAGCTGAAAGGACTTTGAAAGGAACAGGAAGTGTTATTCGTTGTTGTCTATTCTGAGGATTCTGATTGGCTTGCATGGCTTTATCCTTCTCCCTACACTGGCGCTCGACTGCGTATTTATGCGGGCTGATGTAAATGACAACTTTTTTGAAAACTATGTTGTGTGCACAATGTTATTATTAAAAACGGAGGGGGAAAATATTATTTTCTCCTAATACCCGGCTTTTATTTAACTCTGATTGTGTTTGGCTGAAAGAAGAAATTTAAATAAACATAGAATGACTTGAGGGTGAGTAAATTATTTTAATTTTTGGGGTGAACTAACCCTTTCTTTAACCTTAAAAAAATTTAAAAATCCATAAAACCATAAGGAAAACTCAAAAACTCTATTCTTGAACATTGAAGGTGCAGCAAATAACCCATTAAGAACCTTTATAGTGCAAACTATTATTGGTGTAAATGCTAATTTATTAAATTATGAAAATAATTATATAAACAGCTGCTCAGTTTTCAGATTTAAAACTTTAGAATAGAGTTTTTGTCTTACCGTCCCATCCTCCAGCTGTAGTTCCAGCTCAGTTTCTCCAGGATTGAAATCTGTCAGAATCTCCGCAGATTTCCAAACATGTTCAGGGTCGGGGATCCACACCCTGTTATACTACAACAGAAAACTCGCATTACATGGCGATTTAATAAGACTGCTTTGGTAGAGATTTTGTATGGCTTGTGTGCGTGCGCTTTCAAAACTAACAACTGACCATATGTCACAACTATATTTAACTAATTTTTAAAGTTTGACTCAATCATTTCGTATATAAAGTCTTTGACAAGATCATTATCTTCTCAAATGCACACATGCTAGACTAAAATATCATGTTACTAAACTTGCTAAACACTTCTGAAAAGTGATTTGTTCCTCATACCTTTGTATACAACTCCGACAGAGCCATGGCAACAGGAGTCTCTTCCGATTTATTTCACATTAAACCACTTTCTCATGATTAAAATTACAAGTGAAACTAATATTCATACGACTAACTTTTTAGTCATGACACCTGCTAAAAGTCTGGAAATGACGCTGGGAACTTCCTCGCTCACCTGCGACCGCCGGCTAAACTACGAGTCCTACTATAGCGAAGGCTTGGGCTGCTTAATGAGAGGCACAGACCGGTTATAAATATTCATTTCATATGAATTCGAAACGTAAAGTTTAAAAGTTCATAAATACGTTCATTTGTCTAAATAAACTTAAAGTGTTACTACAGCTACATCCTGAGATTGCACTTTAGATTTAATTACTGCATAGTAAAATAGAGTTAAAAATCAATAAAATAAGGTAGGTAAAATATTATAACACAGGGCCTACTACTGGTGAAAACATATAGACTAGTGAATAAACAAATAGAAATGTTGTTAAACCACAGTGGCGCACGCCCTGTAATATAACTAGGAATAGCATATATTTATATAAATATTATTGTATATGTAAAAAAAACTATTTAATATTCATGACATAATCCTTCTCCATAGTGCGGTTCGGGTTTCGCGAACTCACTGTTTACTATTGCGCGCGAGCGAGTCTCGTGACGCTGTGCTTACCGTAGGGGTGTGTTCATTTGAACAAGGATTTGACACCAAAGGAACAGGATATGCTCTTACTCACTCACTCAATCAGTGACTGCACAAGTATGCAGACATGTGATCTCAGGTGTTTGGACACGAAGACAAGTTTTCTCTCGGCTTAGTGCAGACAGATTGAAATACAAAAGCGAGACAGCTGAATGATCAAAATTATCAGGTTAATCAGTGTTCATTTATTATTATTACTATTACTGCATTTTGGGGAAGCACAAACATTGTTCTTAATCTACGTTTATCAAATTAATATGGAATCAATGCATACTGTGACAATATATAGAAAGTCTTGGCAATTTGTTTAGCATGTTATGGCAGATAAAATGCAAAAGTGAAACCTGTTGCATTTGATCATCGAGATCAGATAAGATCAGGTAATACCAGTTCGACTTTATAGTGCTAGAAAAATACTAAATAATAATCTAAAAAATAATTAATTAGTAGTTGGCAACTAAAACAAAAATAGTTTGTCAATTTAAAAAAAAATAGCTGAAATGATTTAAGCATATAGGCTTTGGGGTAACACGGGTGCACTAATATGCATTCACGCTTAACTAATGCACAGATAATCATGAGTTAATGTATAACTAATAAAGAACTAAACCATTAATTAATGATAACTGCATCAGCAACTAATAAAGAGTCTATTGATTAATAATAAGAAAGAGTCTATTATTATATATATCTAGATTAAGTAATACACAAATTGCTATTAATTCAATGTGTCACTGTGTATTAATTCCTTAATAACATATTTGATTAACTAATAGTGTAAATTAATGTGTTAATTACCACAATTAGTCAAAGCTATGCACTTCAACTTCCAGTTGTCTGCTTTAATTAATCATTAGCTAATGATTTGCAAAGGTTATGTTATGACTTTACTTGTTGGGGCACATCATTAGTCATGTAGTAATTGTAGTAATTTGCACATGAATTTGCACAACCAATGAAGTAATTAATGATGTATTAATGCATATTAGTGTACCTGTCATATTATCTGGAAGTTGAAATAAGAATTTGGCTCATTCTGGTAATTAACATATTAATTAACACTATTAGTTAAAAAAATGAGTTATTATGAAATTAATCCACGCATTTAATGAAAAACAATTCATCTATGAACTAATACATTAACCTTACAGACTCTAGTTCCTAATGTGGTAATCATTAATGAATAGCTTAGATAATCATCAGTTACACATTAATTCAGTGTTATCTGTGCATAAGTTAAGCATTAATTAATGCTTATTAGTGCACCCCTATTGTAAAGTGTTACCGGCTTTGGTCCTGTGTAAATCTGTAAACAATAACAATACAGTTACCCTGATTCAAAATTGAATTTAAATTAAACTTTTTAGGCATCTTTTTTTTTTTTTTTTTTTTTTTTAACAAGGCAACTCCTGAGCAAACGATTTTTTAGGGGTTCAAGTGGTAGAAACAATATTGTAATTGTTTAAATTCCCAAGGATCAGTAATCTCCCCTTAAATTGATCGGGCAGACCAAACTGTAAGTCGTAGAGACTTGAAACTTTGAGGGATGGTACTTACAACGTCTACACTGTCACCAAGGCTCGCCCCAATCTACTCTTTCTAAAGGCATCCTGGGATCTTTTTTTGTGACCACAGAGAGGACCTCAGTTTAACATCTCATCTAAAGGACAGTGCTCTTTGACAGTTATGTGTCCCCATCACTACACTGGGGCGTAAGGACCCACACAGACCACAGCGTGAGCGCCCCCTGCTGGCCTCAACACCTCTTTCAGCAGTAACCTTGTTTTCCTCCCTCCCTCTCCAGGTACGCTCAGCCCTACTTCGCTGCTTCATTGGGTGACAAATCTTGGGCTACATGGTGATATGGCTTCTGGCATAAAAATGAAGAGTTCAGATAAAAGCCTATACGTGCCATTTGAAATTTTCTTCTAGAATGATCATTTTTATCAAGCTTGTATATTTAAGTTCAGTGATTTCACTTAAATGGCAATGATAATTACCTATTAATTGTTATTTAAGTGAAATTACTGAACTTAAATATACAAGTTTGACAAAAATCATCATTAAAGAAGAAAATTTCAAATAGCATTGAGAGGCTTTTGCATCTGAACTCTTCATATATATATATATATATATATATATATATATATATATATATATATTCACAGGAAAAAAAAACGTTTAAATATGTTTTGGTGATCAAAGAGTTTTAAGGGATAGGATTATTAACTACAAAAATTATTGTTGGTTTTAACGGCAGGGGAAACATAAAATTACATTACTGAATACATCACTGAATTTCATCTAATTAATATTCATGAGCCATGACTTCAACATCTATAGGCTATTCTTCTGACTCATCCAGCAGTGGTGATACAACGCCCTCGGAAATCATCTCAGCACTTCCCTAAATATTTGACCGCATCAGAAACCACTGATCAAAATCTGATAGAAACCACTGATGTAGCCTATTCATTAAATGAGGCTGCAGTTTCACTTTCGAAGTAAAGAGTTTTTTCGTCTAATAGAGCGTCAGAATGAGCCAGGTATGAATTGACTTTATGCACAGCTGCACTACTTCCTGAACTTAAGCCAGCTCCTTGTTTCCTGTCTGCCATTATCCACAAGTTTCCGAGGGGCGCTCCTGTAAAAAATAAAGTGGGTGAAACTTCTGGTGAGGCGGCGGAAGTAGCATTTCAATGGTATTTTGTGTGTTAGTTAGCGAAGAGGCTAGCTGTTTTTCTGAGAATTATTTTACTATTTAAAGACGCAAATCTTTATGAGAGATGTCGTTACGGAGCTCAGGGACAACATGTGCTGTTCGCGGTATGTATAACCGGACTAAACTAATTTTCAGTGGTTTAAACGTGATTGTTTTGAACAAAAGCTGAAAACGAAATCAGAGTGATCCTGCCAACGACTGTAGTTTCCATCACCTCCCAAAAGACGACGAATCTTCCTGTGTACATTTGTTTAAATTCTTAATATTCTATAAACTTTTATCAGCATGTGTTTGGCTGTTCTCTACTGATGTTGCACCTAAACTCTGGATCAAAGCCAGTGTTGACAGAATACCAAATGTGCCAGTTAATGTATTCAAGCAGCACATTCATTTATAATTTTGAACTCCAAAGCACAATGACTAGTGTGTATTTTTTATTTTAATTGTTTGTCAGCTCGCACAACTGTCTGTCACCATGCCTTGATGAGTATTAATCATTAATAATGTTATTATAATACTGAATCAACTACTGCGGAGGGTAAAGGTACTGTTATTTTACCCTTTTGAATTTCGTTGAGGTTGTGTTCCCACATCGTTAGCTAGTTTGGATTGCTATAACTTGAATGACTGTCAACTCTTGAATGAGTGTCAAGCATGTCAAGTCCCGCTTTGTTTACTTCCAACCGGAAGTCGAGCTCACTTTTGACGCAAGGCCTCATGGGGCGTAGGAAACTTGTGGATTGGCCAAGCTTGATTAATTCAGGTGTCTCTGATTATTGTTGCCGTGACTACTGAGGTCAGGCACACCTGAACTAATCAATTTGTCCAATAATGGCAGACAGGAAACAAGGAGCTGGCTTAAGTTCAGGAAGTAGTGCAGCTGTGCATAAAGCCAATTCACCTGTTCACTGTTTCCTTAAAGCATTTTTAGTTTGTAGGAGAGCTGTTTTTCACTCAAGTCGCCGTGAGGGCCTTATACAGTAGTAGAGCCTATGTAATGAAGATAGATTTGAATCGAAATCTTGGTCAAGGTGTCATGTCCCATTCTCCTCTGTTCTTCTTGATTTCGGAAATCTTAATTTTAGCCCCTCCTTAACTCCCCCCGAGAAGCAGCTTGAAGAAGTAGAAAATGATGCGTTAGCCGACTGACTTGGTCTTCTTCCATCGCGATCCATTGGGATGAAGGGACAGAGTAAATAAACGAAATTACAAATATAACTACTGCACCTAAACGTTATTCTTTTTATGAGGATGTAGAGGTGACGTTCTGCTACTATATTTGAGGTCTATTCGTGTCGTGATGTTGTTCAGTTCAAAGTAAATGCAGCCCAAAGTAAAGCTCTCCACTGGATTTCATGTTTCCTAGTCAAATGTCTCAATGTTTTTTTCTTTCTCTTCAAACTATATCAGGTGATGCAGTCCCTCAGGTTTGCGCTGCAGCCCCATGTGTTTAATATCTCTGTGGATTGGACCCTTCCAGATGGCATTACTGTTGACACACTGTCTCAACCCATCAAAGTGCTCTTCCAGGGTCAAAGGGCACTCATTTACACACAACTTAAAGGAGAGGTGGGATAATTTAACGTGTTTCTTTAATAAGAATCAGAAACCAGTGAAGTAACTTGGAGAAATATTCACAGAATTGTTAATACAAGTACAAGCGGAAGAATCCATCTTTACGTATGTTATATTGTGTCCAAATGTATGAGGAAAGTTGTTTTATTAACATGTTAGTGTCTGTTGTTTTT